CTCCCCCCCCTTCTCCCCGGGGGGGGGGGGGCTTTGTTAGCAGGAGCAGGCTTGGGGCCCTGGAGTACCCTCAAGCCCGCTCCTAGTCCTGGCTGCAAAAGCAAGCCCCACCTCCAGCCCATCCCCCCAGAACTGGGCCCCTAGTTGGCCTCCACCCTCCCACACCGTACCCGAGTCTCCCCACCCAGAATCAGACCCTTAGAGTCCCCACCCCTATGATAGTGCCTTCAGAGGCACTGCCCTCAGTTCCCACCAGGATTCAGGAGCCAGAAGCCCTGCCCCCTCCCCTCAGGCCCCACCCCTAGCTCTTCCCCACAGGATCAGGCCACCAGAAGCTCTGCCCCCTTTTCCCAGGCCCTGCCCACCCCAAAAGCCCCATCTCAACCCAGAACCTGGCTCCCTCAGGCCCCTCCCCCACCCAGGACCAGGCTCCCTGCAAGCCCTGCCCATCTCTCAGGCCCCACCCCCAGCATGGGGCACCTGCTGCCTTCTACCCCCCATCTGGCCACTTGGGGAGCCCCAGAGGCCCCAGGGCTCACCCTCCTTCGGGTCGTCACCAGGGCCGCTGTCGTCACCAGAGTCAGACTCAGAGACGCTGCCATCATCATCGCCGCTGTCCTCGCCACTGCGCTTCCGCTTCCGCTTCTTGCTTGCCTGGCAGGGGTGGGGGGCACATCAGGGTGGGCGGACCAAGTCAGGGGGTGGGGCCTGGAAAAGGCTGTAGGGGAGGGGGAAGAGCCTAGCAGAGCAGGGCAGGGCCAAAGGGGCGGGGCTTAAGAAATCAAGGGGTGGGGCCAAGTGCAAGGGGGCAGGGCATGGATGGAAGGGGTGGGGCCTAGCAAATCAAGGGTTGCATTTAAGTGGGAGGTTGAGTCTTGGGGGCAGGAGCTGGAGAGGAGGGGTGGGGCCAAGCATATCACAGGGGTGGTGCTGAGTCTAAAGGGCCAGGGCTATCTCAAGGGGTCAGGGCCTGGTGGGGATAGGCAGGGCCCAGTACATCAAGGGGCAGAGCATGGAGCAGAAGGGCAGCCAGGGGGCAGGGCTGCAGGAAAGGGGCGGAGCCCAGCATTGTGGTGGAGATGGGGGTAAGGGACAGTGGGGGCAGGACCCACCTTCTTGGGCTCTGCCTCAGGCTCCTCCTCCTTCTTGGGCAGCTGCTCCTCGGGCTCTTCCCCCTTCTTGACCTTGTCCTCCACAGGCTCCTCCTCCTCCACCTGCAGAGGGGCGTGGGCAGGGCTTTCAGTGCTGATGCAAGCAGGGTCCACCCCCCATTAACCTCTTCCCTGCCACCACACTCCTCCCTACCCCCTGCCCATTTCCTGAGTCCTAAGGGGGAAACTGAGGCATGTTGCCCAAAACAAAACCCCTTGAAGGGGGCAGGGCCTGGTCTCCTGGGTCCCTGCCTTTGTCCCCATCCCCTCCATTAACCCCGCCCCTGCTGCCAACCTTTTTGGCCTCGTCCTTCTTGGCCTCATGCTCTGGGCCCTTGCGCTCGGGCTCAGGGGGGCGGGGCTCCTCCTTTCTGGCCGCCTCCCCCTTCTCTGTCCGCCCTTCCTCCTCCTCCTCCTGGTCCAGGATCTTCAGGTCATTCTCCGTGCCACCCTCCATCTTGATGACAGCTGCAGGGCGGCGGGATGAAGGGATCAGATGTGGCCAGTATGAAGCCAAGAACTTGCCCCATTTCCACCCCCCCCCCCCATATCCCAGGAAAAAGCAAAACTAGAGAGGATAAAAGCCCTAATACTGCTGCTGCTAGGTGGGTATCCCCCTTCATAGCTAGATGGATGCCTCTGGAGTTTCCACTCCCAGGGGCAGATAAGGCTGGGGTTTTGTCCCCCCTGCAGAAGTACCCCAAAAGGGGTAAAAATGAGGCTAAAATATGGAGGATAAAAGCCCTACTACTCCTGCCAACAGAGAATCACCCCCTGTAGCTCCCAGGTCTGGGTTGGATGGTGATGGGCACCTCTAAAACTGGCCCCTGTGGTGGATAGAGCTGGGTTTCTCCCCCTAAATTCCCCAGAAAAGGGCAAAACAACTGGATCAAAGCCCTACTACTGCTGGAAATACAAAATCACACCCTGTAGCTCCCAGCTCTGGATTGGATGGTGAATGGACACCTCTAAAGCTGTCCCTAGGGTAGATGGAGCTGCGTTTCTGCCCTAAATACTCCAGAAAATGGCAAAATGACCTGGATAAAAGCCCTACTACTGTTGCTGTATAAAGAAACACCCCCTGTAGCGCCTAGCTCTGGATCTGATGGTGATGGATGCCTATGAAACTGCCCAAGGATGGAGAGAGCTGAGTTTCTGCCCCTAAACACCCCAAAAGAGAGTAAAACAATCAGGATAAAAGCCCTACTACTGCTTCTGATAGAAAATCACCCCCTGTAGCTCCTCGCTCTCCATCAGATGTTGAGAGATGCCTCTGAAACTGCCCCCAAGAGCTGGGCTCCTGCCCCCAAATCCCCCAGGAGGGGGCAAGGCCACCCGGATAAAAGCCCTACTGCTGCTGCTAAAGGTTCAGAGCTCTGCCCCCACATTTTCAGAGTCCTGGGTGGAAAAACTGAGGCTGCCCCCAGCCCCCCCAGTACCAGCGTCAAGAGTCTTGATGATGGCGCTGGCCTTGTCCATGTCCAGCAGTAGTGTGTCAAACCAGGCATTGTCCAGCAGGTACAGGAAGACGCGGAGTCGGTTCTGCAGTGCCCCCTGCGCATCCTGCTTGCGCCGCCCTGCCTCGTCTGGGTGGTATTTGGACCGGAACCTTCCAGGAGGGCGGGGGAGGGAGGGCAGAAAGAAAGAGAGGCTGTTAGCAGCGGGGCAGGGGCACAGGGCTTCAGACATGCAAATAAGGACTGGGGGGATCCCACTGGATGGGATGGAAGAGGGGTCGGGGCTTTGGAGACGGGGAGCCCCTCTGCAGGGAGGGGGGTTGCCTGGATGCCTGGCTTTTTCTTTTCCCCAAGGGGGGGCGTGAGGAAAGGACCCAGGCGTCCGGGCTCCCAGCCCCCCCGCCCGCCCCCTCCCAGAGAGGCCCCCAGACGCCTGGGCTCTCTATCCTTGTCTCCTCCCAGCTCCTCTACACCCCTACAGCTCCCAGGTGCCTGGGTTCTCTCCCTCTAGAGCCCTTCTCTTGCCTCCCGCACTGAGAAGCCCCAAACACCTGGGTTCCCTGCCCCCCAGACTCCTTCTCCTGGGCTTCCAGCCCTCCCGGACACCTGGGTTCTCTACTCTCAGATCCTGTCTTCTGGTCTCCCGAGCCCCAAGAAGCCCGGGACACATGGGTTCCCCTGCACTCTGCCTACAAGTCTCCCAGCCTATCAAATGCCTGCTTCTCAGGGATGTCCTTCCGAATCAGTCCCATGCAGGCGCAAAACTGCCCCACGGAGCTGAGTTTCTGCCCCTAAATACCCCAAAAGAGAATAAAACAACCCGGTTAAAAGCCATACTGCTGTTGCTCATAAACGATCACCCCTCTATTGTTCCCAGCTCTGGATCTGATGGCAACGAACACCTCTACAGCTGGGTTCCTGCCCCTAAATTCCCCAGAAAAGGGTAAAACAACCTAGATAAAAGCCCTACTACTGCTGCTGGGTATTCCCCACCCCCAACCAAGAGAGGGGGCAGGGAATTACCCTTAAAAGGAGCTGGGAGGAACCATCCATTATTAAAAAAAAAAAAAAAACCCACTGGAAGGGGGGGCCTCGCCTTTAAAAGGAGCTGGGAGGAGCAATCCATTTGCAACCCCCCCATGGAGGGGGGCAGCTGGGGGTGGGGCTTTGCCCTTAAAAGGAGCTGGGCGGGGCTTGCGGACGAGCACATCCCGACTCAAAAACGCTCGCCGGAGACAGGCCGGAGCGAACGCAGCGAGAGAACGACGCGGGTCATACATACACGTGGCTCCGACTCCAGCCCGGGGCCGCTGGCTTTTTTTTTCCGGTGGGTTGCGAAAGAGGACCAGAAACACAAAAAAACCCAAAAACGACTCCAAAAAGCCCCCAGTTTCAGGGGCTTTTGGGCTGGTTTCCTCCTTCCCGGCGACTCCAGGAGACAAAAAAAAAAAAAAAAAAAAAAAGACCCCATCCGGGAAAAAAAAAACAAAACCAAACACGCAAAGGAAAATAAAAAAAGACCCCGAAATGCCGGGTTTTTGGGCAAATTTCCCGGCCTCTCTGTCTAATTCCTGCCGACTTTTACGTAGTTCTAAGGCACCACATTGTGCGTGGTGGGCGGGCCCTGGCTGTCTGGCTAATGAGGGCCCGGATGG